GGACGCGGCTCTTCACAAACCTTTCCTCACAAACCTTTCCTGAGAGCTGCCCCGCCTCGCCCCTGCCAGCGGCACATGGCACTTGAGGGGCTCCCTCGGGATGCTCCCATCGAACCCCACAGGGACACCCCCATCCCAAGGGACCCAGGATGCTCCCACTGTCCCTCAAAAGGCCACCCTCATCCATAAAAACCCAGAATGCTCCTATTTAATCCCACAGGGTCACCCCCATCCATAGAGACCTGCCAGCCCCACTGTGGGTCACACCCAGCTCCAGGAACCCAGGATGTGCCCCGTTCTCCCCAGAGCCAAACCCCTCCTGGAAGGGATGCTTATTCCCCCATGAGGATGGGGCAGCTTCTCTGGGGTCCCTGTGCTGCTGCTGTGGTTGTTGACGTTCCTTATCCCAGGGCACAGGTTTCACTGCAGAGCCTGGACAGGTGGAGGCAGCAGCATGGCTTATTTTTCTAAAGCAATTCAGTAAAAAATGCGTTTGATTTCTGTCAAGTGATGGATTTGGGGGGAAGGGAGGAGGATAAGGGCATCCTCCAGCATGAAACAGGCTGCTGGAGGTGAAGCTTGGTGTGGATCAGTTGTTGTAGGATCCCCGAGTTTTTAGAGCTTTGTGGTAGAGCAGCTGATGGATAAACACGTGTGGGGATACAGACAGCAAAACCTTGAATTAACATCCTGCCTGAGCACTGTTCTCATCCAGGATGCAGAAAAATCTGCTCTTTCTTGCAGTGAGGAAGAGGCAGGAGAAGAGTGAGACACAGGACAAAGCTCCCACCTTCCCTGCAGCCTCCCCTGGCCTCGGGCAGCTCCCTGTGAGTGGATGTGCAGGTAGGGATGAACATGAACTAGCTGCTGGTTGGAAACAGTAACCATCATTAAAAACTCAGAATTCCCCCCTCAGCTTTTGCTAGTCTTGTTTTGCAACTTCCAGAGTTCTCCCACTGTCAGAGAAAAATCACATTCCTGATGGACTGAAATGATTGGGGCACTCAGTCTGATTGAAAGAATAAATTGCCAAATTAGCACAGCCCCTCAGCTGTGAGATTGATCATTTCTCACATCTTTGGAACATGCAAACTCATGGATAGAACAGCAGGAGATTAACTGGGTATTACTAATTGCTAATCACAAAGGATGTCAGGGTAAAATTAGAAAGGGAATTTTGTAGAAACCTTTTGCTCAGTGCTTCCAGGATTTGGTTTTCACTTTTTTTTTTGTTGTTGTGGGCAGAACCTTGAAGCAGTTTTTTTTGCTGAAAAAGCAGATTGGGATTTTTTTCCCCTGATTTTGATTAGCAAAATGCTGCAGCGTGGAAGATGGGCATGCCAGCAGACTAAATCCAATTAGTGTGCCTTGAGCTAAGCTGCAGGCAGTTATTGTCTGTGACAATTCACTGTCACTGAGACTGCTTTCTGCTGGCTCTGTGGGGACCTGGGGGAGGAGCTGCTCCTCACCTGGCTGGGTCTGCAGGCTCTGCCTGTGCTGTCCCCTCTGGCAGGGACCAGCCTGGCCCCAGCCTGGCCAGCAGCTGTTTCTGAATGCACCTGGGTTATCCACATGCTCTTGCTCTGCCTGGAACTGGTGTATGGACATGGAAGCTCTTCCCAAAGTGTTCCCCAGCTCATGGAAAGATCACTTCAAGCATTGCCAGGCTGCCTCACTTGAGCTGGGGCTGCCTGTGCCTGCACATGGTCCCACCAGTTGCTGCACAGCTTCAGTCTGGAGGTGTTTGCCTTCTCCAATCCAAACACTGGGATCTCCAGGATGTGTGGAAGTCCAGACCAGATCCAGGAGCAACAGTCAGTGTAAAGAGTGCCAGGCAGCAGCTCCAGCTCTGTTGTGGCCTCACCAAGCTTGGGCATTTTTAAGCTCAGTGTGAGGTCCCAGTGAGCTCACCCTGCTGCTGGCTCTGCTCTAAGCTAAAGGTTCCACTCAGGACCTCCAGATGTCCCCTCCTCTGAGGTTTTCTCCTTACTCTGAATGGAGTTAGGATGTAGATAATACATTACCAGCACCTTATCCTGTGTGTGTGACAAACAGAAACCCCTCTGGATCCCTGGTGGTGCCGTGTCCCCTCACCCACAGGTCCTGTCCCCACAGCAGGTGCCCGAGGTGCTGATGTGACACCCACCACTGGTGGCCAGGACCATGGGGAAACTGCAGAGTAAAATCAGCTTCCACACCACCAAATACAGGTAAAGCAATGCTGGGAGATCAGGTCTTGTTAATAAATCAGGTTTGAGAGGGAAGAGGGCACAAAGTTTTATTATTGGATGTGTGAACCAGATTTTCATTTCTAACCCTCACTTTTAAAGTCTGCTCAGCTTCTTTGGGGGGCTGAAATCCCAAGTGTGACTCCCAGGAATGGCCAAGCACAAAACCATGGCAGTGGTTGTGCTCTGTGATGGCTGAGGCAGAGCTCTGAAGGGGAACTCTCCAGGAGTGGCTCTGTGGCCCAAATACCCAAACTGATTTATGTCCTCAGAGCCTGTCACCAACCTTCATGGCCAAGATGAAATAATTCAGTCCCTGACAGCAGGGAGAGGGTTCTGTGCCTGGAGAGCAGCACAGGGTGGCAGAGGGGGGACTCGTGGCCAGGGAGGTGTCACAGCAAAGAGCAGCAGAGCCTGACCCATGTGAGGACCGTGGAGGCCGGTGAGGTCAAAATCTCTTTTCTTCTTTGCTCCAGCACAGAGTGAGGGACAATTCAGCAGCTCTGGAGCTGGGATTGGTCTGCTCCATCTCACTCACAGCCTCTCTCTGGCTTTCCAAGACAGATGTTGTCGTGTCAGAAGATGCCAGAGGTGCCAGGGGATGGCACCTGGCCTCTCCTCCAGCCCCTGCACTCCCACTGCTGTCCCTGTTCCTCTGCAGGGCCGAGGGCTCCGTGGGACAGACAGGACCTGCTGGTGCCTCCTGGCAGCACAGCCCTGCTCACACTGATGCTGTCACCTCTGTGGCTGCCCTCAAACCAGACCTGTGTGTGTCAGGAGGAAGGGATAAGGTGAGGTATCCCCTGGGACAGGATAATACATCAACAGCTTCACAAGTAAGGTTGGAATGTGAGCTTTGAACATTTCTGTGGATGGTGGCTGTGTCAGTGCCTGGATTTAGAAAGGAAAAATGAGCTTAGGGTGAGGGCACACCCTGAAGCACATGGAATCAAATTCTGTAACCTCTCCAGAGCTCGTATCACATCAAATGCTCCCACCCAGGCTTGAGATCACCAGCTGACTCTGACATCACCTGTCTTTAAGGACAGCTGTACATGCTGTAGGAGCTGAAAACCAGAGGAACCTGTTCCCTGTGCTGGGGACTGTGCACAAGCCTTGGTGTGACACCCTCCCTGCCCTGCTCTGTGCTGACCCCTGTCCCTGTCCCTGCAGAGCGTGGCTGTGTCCAGCTGGAGCTCTGGGGCTGCCCTGCGCCGCTTCACCGGCCACGAGCGCGAGGTCACCAAGGTGAGAGCTGGGGAGCCAGGGGTGATGGAGCCCTGGTTTGTGCTCCACAAGAAGGGTGGGATCAGGGTGTTCCTGACATCCAGCTGGGGATGGTTGGGCTGGATGACCTTAAGGGTCTTTTCCAAACTTAATAATTCATGATTCTGTGATCAGAACATATTAGGTTTTTCCCAAGGTCCCAACAGATACTTTTAGAAGCAGCATGGAGTGTTGCATTCAGACTAAACAGGGCTGCAGGAGGTCTGGATGTGAGCTTGTCTTCCCCTCCAAGAGACTATGTAGCAGAAGCTCAGGATGAATTATGGGGTCAAGCTTTTGATGCAGAGATGCCATCCACTTTTCTTCAAGCCTCATTCTGCTAGACCTGACATTATTCCACAAATCAGCCATGCCTGGCTGAGACATTCTGGGAATACCCATGCCATGTGCCATAGCTGGAATATTCTGGGAATAGCAGGGCTTTAATTTCCTTTCTGGAATTGGGATGATAAAGCCAAGCGGGTTTCTGGAGAGGAGAGGAGCTGTAGCTGTGTGTGGTGTGGCCAGTGCACCTCCACAGGGGACAGCCCCAGTGGGTACTGCAAAGACAAAGGGGGCTTTTTGTTCACCTCAGTGCTCAAAACAGCTGTGCACTGGGCTCATTTGGGTTTGTAAGGATGTCTTTCCTATAAAAGGAATGGTTTCTAAGAACAAGACCTGAGAGCACCCATGCACCATCCCTGGCTCTGAGGGGATACGGGACAGAGTTGGGAGGCCAGACTTTGGGAGTCATGTTCCTGCCTGTGGCAGGACAGCAGCAGAGTTGTGCTCTCCCTGTGAGCTGGGTGTGAGGATGAGCAGCTTCTCCTTCTGTCCTTGGCAGGTCACCTCAGCCCTCGACTCCAGCAGAGTCTTCAGCGCGTCCCGGGACAAGACAGTGATGATGTGGGAGCTTCAGGGGGCTGCGGGGCCAAGGCAGCACTTCCCAGGACATGACCTGGTTGTTACTGGGCTGGCTGTGAGCCCAGGTGAGGGACAGTACACCCCCAGTCCCCAGGGACTGACTGACAGTGTTTCCTGCCCTGTTTTTGATGTTAATTGTGGTTGCAGACGCCTCCCAGCTGTGCACGGGCTCCAGGGACAACACCGTGTGCAAGTGGGACACTGAGACTGGGGAGTGTCTGGGCAGAGCTGCCATCTCCAGGAACCTGGTAGGATCTGCTGGTTCCTCCAATCCCATCCCATCATCCATCTCCCTGCCTACATTGTTATTTCACATGTGGGGCTGTGCAGAGAGGATTTTCTGGGAGCTTGGTGCCAAAGGGAGCCCTTGGGACACTGTGCACCTGGGCAGGTTCAGCTTGAGGCTGGTTATTCTTCTCCAGGTAACAACAAACCCAGGAGCACAAAGGTACCACGGGACTCACAGCAATTTATCAATGCTCTAACTCAGAGCTGTTTGGATGCACAGAGTCATGGAATCACTGAGGTTGGAAAAGACCTCTAAGACAGAGTCCAGCCATTCCCTCAGCACTGCCACAGCCACCACTAACTCATGTCCCCAAGTGCCACATTTATATGGCTTTTAAATCCCTCCAGGGATGGTCACTCCACCACTGCCCTGGGTAGCCTGTGCCAATGCCTGACCACCCTTTCAGCAAAGAAATTTTCTCCAGTATCCAACCTAAACCTCCCTTGGCACAACTTGAGGCAATTTCTTGTAATTGCTTGTTCCCTGGGAGCAGAACCTGACCCCCACCTTCTGCACCCCCTGTCAGGGAGTTGTGGAGAGCCAGAAGATCCCCCTGGGTCTCCTTTTCTCCTGGCTGAACAAGGCCTGTGCAGTGGGGCTGCATTCCCTCCTGTCCCAGCCCAGAGCTGGGGAGGGTGCCAGCCCTGGTGCCTGTGCTGTCCCTGCTCCCATGGCTCTGTGTCCTGCTGCTGCCACCTCCCAGCCTCCATCACCACTGGGACTACACCTGGCAGAGGAGCAGAAAATGTCCTCATCCAACATTTCCAGCTCCCAACCCAGCAGGAGGAGGGACAGGATGGGAGCTCAGTGGTTCCATCCTCAGGCAGGCACAGCCTGGGCTGCACACAGAGGTGGCTCCTGCTCATCCTTCCCTTTCCACAGGTCACACACCTGTGCTGGGTTCCTGGGGAGCCTTATGTCATCCAGACCTCCGAGGATAAAACCACCAGGTAGATTGAAAACCACCAGGTAAATTCTCCCTATGGCCAGAGAGCAGGGAGGCTCAGCCTGTTGTGGGGTTGGTTGTCATGACCCCTGCTGGTGTGGCTAAAAGTCACCTGCCAGCTCAGCTGGGCCTGGGAGTGTGACCTGCAGCCAGGGACAGGGGCTGGGAGCAGCACTGGGTGGTGACTGCAGGTGAAAAGGAGAATCTGTGAGAAAGAGAGCTGGAGAGTGATCCAGCACGGATAAATGCAGGGAGAGCTTGGGAGCAGCTGTGGGCACGGCCCGGGTGTGCAGGAGGGCTCAGAGGGAAGCCGCGGTGGTGATGATGCCTCAGGGTCCCTCTGCTGTTCCCTGCAGGGTGTGGGACAGCCGGGAGCTGCAGGTGGCCCACACGTTCCCAGCCAAGCAGCACATCCAGACGTGCTGTGAC